TTTACCTGAACACCTTCCTAAATGTGTTTTCTAAGGGGTAGAATGAGAGAATGTAACAGTTTTTTTTTTCAACAAATAAAAAAACAACAACATTTTAATCTGATATACTGATGTTGTTTAAGCTGTTCTGGGTTACTGCCCTTTGATTACCATAATTGCTTTGCACATTGCCGCAATAACCTTGAATATGACTGTTGACTTCTGGTAATCCTGAATAAAGGATTCGTAAACCTCGGTCTTTAAACCTTTACAATAAAGACACCAAAAATGGTGTGACATGGGTTTAAATGGCCACAGCAGCAATTTTATTAACAAACAAATAATAGCCTCAATTAAAACAATTTCAATAATGCAAATTCCACAATGCAACCAGGAGGAGGTCTACTGGGTATCCTTAAGACACACTTTATGACTGTAATTGCCCATGTTCTCAGCCAGGCCACAACCTGCTTGATGATGTTATGACTCACACATTCTTAGATTTTCCTCCAGAGGTCTTAGCTCCTGAGGGAACCACCAATAATCAACCAAGTGGAAGCGCCATACCCTAGATGGGCTCCCAATTTTTAACAATATCATTAATCACTGACCCCCCCAAAGACCCCCTGGCCCACCAAGCAGCTGTGACAAATGTTCATTTTTATTTGTTTGAATAGAAATTCATAACCACAAAACTGCCCACCACCCCAAATACACAGGGAAACCTGAACACAGGGTGGGAGAGAGGGGAAGTTTCCTATTTGCCTGAGCTTTCAGGAATGAATATTTAGCAACGCTTGCAATGGATTAAGGATTAACCTTGCTTTTCCACCCTGCCCATTCAACCTTCAGCCTCCAATCAGGTAAGAACTACGCCCCTTCCACACTAACTACAGTACATATTTTAAATCTTCTCTGACCGGTTCCCTTTAGTCATGCCAATCCTACGTCCTTTTCTCTCTTCTCCGGGTAGCACTATTTTAACAACTGTGGACTAACAGTATATGATATGATGGTACACATTGAAAAAACGTCATCTGTATACTAAGCCCCCTTCAATGGGCACACTGCGCTATACGGTCTTTTACAATGTACGCCTTTTTCATCCATGTGATTCTACTGCCATCAATAAATGAAAAATATCTCCTATGCAGTCAGCTAGCATCATTAGTTGCTAAAATGTTAGCAGCCACACAGGGTCATTGACTGCTAGGAAGCTGGTAGCCACCAGCATCCTAGCAACTGCTATCTTGTTGCCTTCTGGTTGTTACAAATTATAAGCAAGACAGTGGGCCTCCCAGTCAATGTCAATGACCCGCTTTTTGTTTTTGTTTTTTTAAAGGACTTTTATAATGATGTGGCATACTTATTTCCTATTTCAACATTTTATGAATGAATAACTTGGGGTGCTGGGTACCGCTTACTCATTCACATAGCAGGGGAAGTATATGGAGTCACCCCAATTTAAAGTGAGCTTCCAGATTCTAATAAGGCTACCCCCTTCCCACAGATCACCACAACCACTGGGCCAGGGTTGTGGGGAGGAGGCCATTGTCTTCATCAACATGGTACTCTCCCTATGTGGAGGATATGTGGCCTGGTATAGTGCAGGAAGGGGTGCACCCCATTCCTCCCCTTTCCTAGCCAGCCAGTTGGTATTCTTGGATAGGGGTGTGGTATAGAATTGTAAATTGTGCAACCCCACTTATAAGCCATACAGGATATTCATCCTGGATAAGGGTTTGGTATGGATGAAGAGAATGTGAAGAGAATGTCCCATTAGTTTGTTGACAAATAGAGTGAAGCATCAGGGAAATGTCATATGGTGGTATTTTTTTTTGTATATGTCACTTTTCCTGTAGTATATCCTACAGATGCAACCCTTCGCAGACCAGTTTAAAGCATCCATAAAGCATGTTATTAAAATAAATTGTGCATTTAATGTTGTCATTTAAGCCTTATTAAAAGAGCTGCATTCTGCTGAATGGTATTTTTATTTTTCTTTCATTGGTACATGTTCACCCCTGGCAAAGGCCACCTCCCTATACCCTTTGTTTGACAATTCCTTGCATATTAACCATGGGCAGAATTGATTTTCATGATGTGGCTCCTATTAACTTCAATGGGGTATGGAATAACATCAATTCCAAAACCACTGCGAAACAAAGCCAGGCACATTGTGCACATCACTAGATATTGCTGACATAAGCACACTGGCTGTTAGGGCTCATGTACATGCCTATAAGAAGGCCTAGAAGCCAGAGCCTGCATAAAAACTGTGTAGGGATCCACAACTGCTGCGTAAAGTCTTTTATAGGCATCAATTATAGAGGATACAGCTGTGTGTGCTGATGTGCAAGACACACTATCTATGTTCAGGACATAATTCCAAGCAGATGGTTCCCCCAGACAGTTTCTCTCCAAAGGTACCAATCCCAGAGGCCAAAATCTTTCCAGAATCACTGGGCAGACCCTGCTCTCTACAAAAATGTAGTTGAGAACAGAGGGGGCACATGAAAGGAGGTAAGTGTTGTTCTTCCCTGTTTGGTCCTATGTACAGTTCATGTACTGTAGTTGGTGAGTTCTCTTATTGAAAGGTTCACTACTGTGACATGGTCCTAGGGATACTAATTTTAGACACGTGGATGTAATTTTCAAATCTTATTGGATTCAACCGAAAAAAAAATTAACTTTTTTAAAAAATAAGGATCCTTATCCTAGCTTGATAGCATGGTGAATCTTTATGTATGCAAAAGAATTAACTATTTTCATAAGTATACTCTGACTGAAGTCAAGGGGAAAACCGCAGCACCTCATCCATAAGAAATATATACATAGACAAATAAGAGAGAGCCTTACTCCTTCAAAACAGGACTTTATATGTGCAGGGCCATTCAAACACTACACAATTGTTAAGATAAAACCATTGAAGATTTTATTACAAATGTAGAGTTAAACATCCACATGAAAAATAATAAAAACAGTGAAAGACGTGACAATCAATAGATCTCTCAGGTTAATGGTTCCGACCAATTGAGTATACTGTGTGATAAATCCCGACATGTTTCACCCTTCGGGCTTCCTCAGGGGATATAGTTGTATCATACTGTGAAAGAACTAAAAAATTATAATCAATAACCTATAAACAACACACAGTACAACACATATTACAGCGGTTTTCATGTGTGTTCAAATCCACATCTTACTGTTAACAATAATATCCAATCACTTCTAATGTGAAAACTGTATTTAATCCACATTATGCAGTTAATAATATCAAATATGTTTCGGTGACGATGGAAGGTCAAGAGGCATCTTACCAATATCCTTCAGATCAGAAAAAAGCTTGTCTACAAAGTAGGAATGTAATATCCATTTATGGCCAGATGATTCAATGGGTAAGGGTGGAGGGCAGTATTCGGTGTGCTGTAGGAGGGGCACATAAGGCCAGAACCTATGTTGATAACAAAACAGATGAATAAACTACAAATTCCTAGGGAGGGCCCCAGATAGGCTTCCTTTCTCAAAGCAACCAGTCATCAGACCAAACAATATGGTTAGAGAATATACCTGGTAAATATCCTAGGTAGGATTCCCAGATTCCAAAAGAACATAATATATGCCTCATATGATTAGAAAACATCCAACAAAGGGCTGGAAAACCATTCATCTAAAAAGAAAAATGACAAAATGTCTATGTATATATTTTCATACGTAGAAGTTTTGATTTAGGGTACTACCATTTTTTGGCTAACTAAAAAGTTTGTAGTGCAATTTTTCAAAGCATGTTGGCCTCTTCTTCAGACCTCTAAGCCTTACACTCTTCTTTTCAGTGGCCAACATCTTCAAGGGTTTCTCCAAAGAGGGGAAATCCTTGCATCTCTCCCAAGGCTTAGGAGAGACTGAATGTCTAAGCCTAGGAATGCCGAGGCAGAGAAGGAAGTATTTCATATATGTAATAGTTCTCCCAGAATGCCTCATCAGGTTCCCCAGGCCTACTAATTAGCCAGGCTATTAAATACTCATAACACAGAATGATCTCTCTTTAGCATACCCTGCTTGAGCAAGCTCAGTCGTCATGTGGCATAGAAAAATTACTTTATGCTTAGAAAATCACTCCTGTTGAGGTACAGTTAGTCTAACAACAGCCAACTTTCTGGCCACAGAAATTGCAAAAATTCAAAAAGGAATTTAGCAGCACTAGTTTTCTGGTTGCCCATCAGGCTTCACCCACCGCACTACAAAACTGCTTTGCCTTGCATACACCGACAGATTCATGTATCTATCTCTGACAGGTACATGAATCAAGTGCAAACACCAACAATTTTGGTGAAGTGCCCCAACGTAATTCCAAAGGGTGTCAGCTTCAAGTGATCCTACTGCAGTTAGTGTAACATTACACTATAAATCTGGGATTCAAGGTTGTAAATGAACTTTTAGTTGAAATCTCCTATGTATACAGCACTAAACCAGACCTGCTTCTCATACAGTACACTTGCTGTGGACATCCAGGATGCTGGCTCAAAAAGCCTGTCTTCCACTTGTCATGAAAAGACACTAATAAAAGGGAGCTACACTCCAATATCTCTTTCTTCTGAAAGTTCTTATTATGCCATCACTAATACACTGCATCCATGATGTTCCTGCCAAGGGAATCCTTGTGATCAAGACGTTTTCTGTGAAACGCATTAAGGAAGTGTGTGATGCCTGGACGGGGCGATGTGGTTGTATTACTAATGGTTTAATAAAGAACATTCAGAAAAATGAAATATTGGTATGTGGCACCCTTCTTTTGGTGTCTGTAAATTAACTTTATTATTCTATTTTTCTTTCATCCCATTATTGGGTCATTTATTTACAATTTAAGCCAGAGATTTTTTTTTCTCAGAGAACAGGTGCAAGAATTCAACCACCCCATTAAACCACATCAAATGGTGGGTGCGGCCAAATTGGACAGGGTGGGAAAGTCTTAAAGGGGCATGAAATACCAGGCGTGCATTGCGCACAGAGTGCAGAGTTTAGGGACTCGCTATGCACAGGGTGCAGTGTTCATGGATGTATTGCAAGAAGTGTGCAGAGTTCAGGAGTACATTATGTACTGAGTGCAGAGTTCAGGGACGTTCAATGCATAGGGTGTAGACAGGGGTGGACTGACAACTCATGGGGCCCTCAGGCAATAGGGGATCATGGGGCCCCTGTTCTTTCCCACACTCAAAGCACACTCAAAAAAAGCCTTTAAATGGTACCAGCGGCATTTTATGGGGCCCCCTACTGACCCCGGGCCCTCGGGCAGTGCCTGAGTGTTTGAATGGTCAGTCCGCCCCTGGGTGTAGAGTTTAGGAATATGCTGCATACAGAGTGCAGAGTTAAGGAGTGCATTTACATACAGATTGCAGAGTTAAGGTATACACTACGTACAGAGTTCAGATCTCAGGAGTGCGCTGTGTGCAGAGTTCAGGGTTCAGAAGTGTGCAGAGTTCAGGAGTGTGCTGTGTACTGAGTGCAGGGTTCAGGAGTGCATTTATGTACAAAGTACAGAGTTCAGCCCTCTTCTACAGGTCCTTACTTTTGTACCCCCATTCACATCTCACTCCCACCCCTCCTCAACTCTGACCTCTGCACACACTCCCATCCACTGCCCTCATCTTCTCCCCTCCCTTAAATGCTCCATCATTTTCCTTACCTTTGTTGCTGTATAAGGCGGGGCAATGGTCTTGCTCTAGTGCCTCTCCACACACTGCAGGTATGAACCACATGATGCCCCCTACTGCTCATGATCGCACTGTACCTGAGCACCTGAATCTGCCTTGATCCTGCCCTGAGTGCAGGGCATTGAAGAATCTGTGCCTGTAGCTGTGAGAGGTAAACTGTCACTTCTAAACACAGAAGCTGGGCTTCTGTGTTTAGAAGGGACAGCAGGGAGCAAAGAGCCAAAGCCAGAAGTGACAAAACAGCTGGAAACAATACCTGGTTACAACATGTAAATTTTAAATAACAGCAACTCCTTTAATTACAAACATTTTGGTAAGGTACAATTTATGAAAATGGTCTTTCATGGGGTACGTGAATGAAAAAAGTCTGGAACCGCTGATCTAGAAGCCTCACTCACTGTTAGAAGTGTGCAGTCACCGTTTGTTTACAGATGAAAGGTTCCATGAAAAATTGAATCTGTTCTACACATCAATTTTTTCCCAATAAAAAAGAATAACTTGGTATTTCAGCAGCTTGCATTATTTCGATTTTGCCAGAGAGTCAGTTCATACCTAACAGCTTTAAAAATAACAATAAAAAGGTATTGCGGTCTCCTAGCAAAACCAATCACAGTGTACAACTAAACACATAGAAATACTATACTATGGGAATATACAGGCCTGGGGCTGCGCAGTAGGAAACAGATTCATTAAGTGTAATGAATTATTCCTTTTTTTTAGTTTTTATATAGAGAGGTGGGGTTTTAGGCCCCCTGTTTTTATTGTGTCTCTGTCCCCGCTGGGAAGATTCACCTTCTCTTTTTGTCCTGATGAGTTGTCACCAAAGCAGAATGAGAGGGGAATTCTTCCAATGGAGACAACTCTAACTAAGAAACATATCTTGAAGTTTTTTTTTTTTTTTAATTTATCTAAACTCCCTACTGACTCCACCAATTGTGGGAGGGAGTTCCACATCCTAACAGTAAAGAACCCTTTACTTTAAGATTGAACTGCTTTTCATTGTGTGGCCATTTGTCTTCTTTATAGACCTTAGGTTAAATAGTTTCCTTCAAATGGTGGAGTCATCATTCAAATATTTGTTTATTGTGATCATATTCCCATTTAAGTGTCTCTTCTCCAGGGAGTATAAGTTTAATGTTTGTAGTTGTTACTCATAACTGAGTTCTTCCAGTTCCCTTATCCACTTCAAGCACATCATTCCTGAGGATGGTGACCAGAACTGGATGGCATACTCCATATGTGGTTGAACCAGAGTTTTGTTAAGTGGTAGAAATATAGTCCTGACTGTCCTGGGGTCTGTATGCTACATCAGTTCAATGGGAAGATTCCTATTTGTTTGAAGGCAGACCCAGATTGTTTGAAAGCAGACTCAGATTGTTTCAAGTAGTGCATTTGTTTTTCTTAATTGTTACTTGAATCCATGGACCATGATGCAGTAGTCCTTACAAAGTCCAAGTTATGCCTAGGCATAAGAGCTTTCAGCTTACAAAGCTTGTTGCCTAAACTACAAGCATTATTGCACATGGCGTGACAAATACTGTTACTGCTGTATTTTTGATACTAGAATTTGTAACTGCATCTTTAACTACCCCACTAGCCAAATCCTAAGCAACAAAAACCCTCACATTTGTTTTAACCTGTTGGGGACAGAATTCTCCTTATCATTTAAAGTGATTGTAAACCTCAGACATGAAATATGAACAGCGCTTATCACTCTATAGTGTGTACTTGTCTCAGTTAAGAGCGCTAAGTGTCATTTATGTATGCTATACCCTATTACACTGTTATCTGCATGAATTGCTTCTGACAAGTTTTCCTGACACCAAGAGAAAAAAGGTGATAGGGGAAGGATCTCCAGCAGATTGACAACCTCAGCTCTGTTCCTGTGAGCTGTGTGGAGGGGGTGTGTCCCTTCCCTTCAATTAGCTCTCAGAGCTCTCCTCATTGAGCACTGCAATGTGTAGTTTTAGCTCCCTGCCCCCTATTTTCCGACAAGTCAGACAAGCTGTATAAATTCAACACTTTTAAGAGATGTAGAGAAAAGGCTGCAGATAGATTGGTACAATTTAATTTGCATGATTTGTTTAATCTCTGTGTATTACCTGAGGCCAGTCACTTCACTGGGTATATGCAAGGGTTTACAACCATTTTAAACCACTGTCCCCATTTCTCGGTTTAAATGCATGTCCAGAAAACTCCTGAATTCCACACTAAGTAGCACAGTGCCCTTGCCCATCTTTGTACAGTTCAATATCAGACCACCTGCTAGCATCATGACGAACATAACCGAAACCCTAATATTTACACTATTCTTTTAGCCAAACATTGAACTCTGCAATATAAATGACTTTCTCTAGTCATATATTATAAACAGGTAAGACATCTGAAAATGCAAATGTAACACAGTGCAGTTACTGAGGATGCAGTACTCTATTTTCCCACAAGATGGTAGCCTTCAGCCTTTGCCTCACCAAAGCTTTAATACAAGTACTATCAGAGCATTCTGGGAGATGTAGTCTGGAAACAGGACTTTCTATACTCAACTTATAACTATAATGCCCAGAAGAACCTGCCATGGGGAGGGACATTATAAAAGGAAAAGCCTGGAAAGAAGCTGGGGTCATTGGGGAGAGACATGCCAACTTGAAGGAGTGTGTGTGTGACTGCTGGGCTGTGCTCTCTAAACCAGATTGAGCTGCATTCAACAGAGCTTGTAGTGAGTCAAGGAACAGACTGCTGTGCTGAGCGCTGAGTGGAGGAGACCATTCTTGGGAGATCCTTCAGCATCCAGAGCATCTGTGTGGAGTGCATGCATCCAGACCTGCACAGCTGCATCACCATTTAAGGGGGCACCCCACCGCATAACTTGCATTCTTCCGGGACTACCACAGAAGAACTTGGTGAGAAGGTCACCAACCCACACTTCATTGCTACTCATTACAATTGGTTCTTATTGCCATGCAGGCCTATTTGTGCTATACTCACTTCCTGATACTGTCTATAAACAGAGCTAAATACATTGCCACCATCTATTGCTGCAAGCTGACACTCCTTTACGCTAAAGTTGACACTGAACTCAGAGTGCTGAGCTTTGTTAACACTTCTCTTCCTGTTTAACCACCCACTTGCACCAACAGAATTTATCTTTGCTTAGCCAACTTAAAGGGGCAGTCCTACTGAATAAGTTCACCCCTTTATGGAACTCCTCCATTAATTCCAGATCTTAAAGTAAACTTCCCTACTGATTTCACATCTCAAAGTGAACTTCCCCATTGACTTCATACCTTAGAGCAGTGGTTGGCAAGCCGCAGCTCGCGAGCCACATGTGGCTCTTTACACACTTTAATGCGGCTCTTCTGTGTGCCGGGCGCCCGCTCCCCTCCCTCCTCTCGGGCGGCCGCCCCAAAAGTCAGGACTCTGCAGCTAGCCCAGCAATGGGCAAACTACGGCCCGGCGGACCTTTTAATCCGGGCCCGCGGAGCGTGATCAAAAAAGGAAAACAGCCAGGGCAGCACGCTCAAATGCAATGATTGGCCAGTCTCGCTGCCACTCACATCCTGATAGCCAGTGATTGGCTGTCAGGATGTGTGTAGGCGGGGCAGCGTGATGAACGTGAGAGGAGCTAGGCTCCTCTCACAGTCCGCCCTGAAGACCGGAACGGCGCGGGAACACGGTGAGAAGAACGTGCGGAGCAAAGGTAAGTGAATTGACACAGGGGGGACTTGGCTTACTACTTACTACTTACTTACTACTACTATATGAGGGATGAATTAATATGGGGGATGAATTACTATATGGGGGATGAATTACTATAGGGGGGGTGAATTACTATGGGGGATGAATTACTATGGGGGATGAATTACTATATGGGGGATGAATTACTATGGGGGATGAATTACTATATGGGGGATTAATTACTATAGGGGGGATGAATTACTATGGGGGATGAATTACTATATGGGGGATGAATTACTATGGGGGATGAATTACTATATGGGGGATGAATTACTATATGGGGGATGAATTACTATGGGGGATGAATTACTATATGGGGGATGAATTACTATATGGGGGATGAATTACTATGGGGGATTAATTACTATAGGGGGGGTGAATTACTATGGGGGATGAATTACTATGGGGGATGAATTACTATATGGGGGATGAATTACTATGGGGGATGAATTACTATGGGGGATGAATTACTATATGGGGGATTAATTACTATATGGGGGATGAATTACTATGGGGGATGAATTACTATATGGGGGATGAATTACTATATGGGGGATGAATTACTATGGGGGATGAATTACTATAAAAAACTTATTGAAACTAAAAACAGTGTACCATCCTATGTATTTTCAGTTTTAAAAATGTGGCTCTCAAAATAAATTTCAATCGTGGTTTTGGCGAG